TTTGGCACCGCATGGGATAACGACCCATATGTTGTCGATTTGGTATTTATTGTTAATTTAATTATCTAAATGACATTTAATTAATTAATTATTTATGGTAACAGTTGGTCACAATAATACTCTTCAATCCCGATCGACCAAACCTTATACATAAAGAGATGGTTAAGTAAGTGAATTCATGTCTTGATCATCATGTAATTAGCTAACTAATCATGTTGTTTATTGTACATAGACTTCAGCAACAGTTATACATGTATTTATTGAAAAGATATTTCCATATGAAATACGGGTCGAGTTGTGCGGCACAGGAAAGGTTTCTAAGGATAATTAACTCGTTGGAAGAGTTGAGCAAATTTGTTACCATTCATAGAGAGGCCCAACGCATGGATTACAAGACACAGATCGGCCCTTTGCTCCGGGAAGTACTCGATTTGCCCGCACTCGACAACTGCCCAAACAATAATGATTATACGCTAACTGTGTTATGATGTGTTGTTTTTATTTGTTGGTAGTTTTGATAATACAATGATCATGATGTAATTTGATTTTTAATTCATCCAGCTTAGCTTTCTGAATGTTTTAAATTATTACCATTTTATTGTTTGTAATTATTTAAATAAATTCTTTGCAATTATTATAATTTATATATAATTTGTAAATCCCTGTAACTATTACTGTAATTATATAACATGTAACTGTAATTACACATTGACTATTATATGATTTTATTTCATAATAATTTCAAATATTTTATTTATGAAAATATTTATATTGTTTATTTATATATCAAATAACTATTACAACAATTATATAATTGTATTTATTTAGTTTTCTTTCAGATGATGTATAACCTGTTGTATACATGTTTTTAATTACAGTCACAGCGACTGAATTACACAATGTTTAGTGTTTTTCATATGATTCATATGAGTCTGGAGTCATATTTTAAACAATTTCATTATTTGGCGTCACTTTAGTGTCTGAAATATTTGCCGCACGTCTTGAAACACTTGGTCCGGAGGAAGGTTTGCATTCACTTCGCGGACCAAATTCAAGCGCCGGTAATACTCAACAATTGGCAAAGTGTCGGACAAATAATTATCAATCCGTTTGCCGAGAATCTCGGTGTTATCATCGGTGCGGCCTCTCGTCAGACATCGATCAATACATACATCTGGTGGACAGTCCAACACTAGGACACACTTGAGGTCCGCTTTGTGTGTCATCGCTGTCTGCCATCCGTCCAAATTGTTTTGGTTTCGGGGAAAGCCGTCGATTAAAAACTTGCCGACCCTTCCGTCGGACGGCTCACCGCCGGCGGATGAGCTCTTCATAGCCTTTTCCAACACTTTTAAAGTGATCTCAACGGGCAGTATAGTGCCGTTACGCGTATGACTTTTAAACAGTTCCCCATATTGTGATCCTTCGGCGTTACACTCGGCTCTCAAGAGGTCGCCGGCACTCAAGTGAATGAAACCGAACTCCTATTTAATTAATAACTTTTTTTAATTGTATTCAAAAACAGTATTTAAATAATTAAAAAAGTAATTGATTTATAATAATTAAATGTGTGGTACGAGTGTTGCCCAGTGGTTACCTAATGATCGCTGATTATCAGCAATCAGTAATGACCACTAATGTCGTTATTTTTAATAGAAACAATGATAGTCTCGGATCAAATAAAGTGATAATACCTTACATATTAGTTGACATTGGGTACCCTTTCCAGCTCCGGGTGCGCCCAATACAAACACCACCCATGGTTTGCCTGAAGACATGAATCGACTACTAATTTAACACCAAACTAATTGTCTGAACAAATACTTAAAATGTTTAATACACATGCTAACTCGTAAGGGTGATTTTTTATACTTTCATAAAACTATTGCTTAAATAGTGGTCATAATAGTTGCATATCAATAGTGATAATAAGTTGCATATCAATAGTGTAAGATAATGTATACCATGTTATGATAATAACTTATATAAATTTAAATTCTAATTTATGCTTATGAATCTTAATATAATAAATGTTTATTTTAAATTTCCAATCAACAAAATTATTTCAAATCTTGATAATAAAATTATTGCTTTAATAAATTATACAATATTCCAATAGTTGCTATAATAACCGTAATTTTTAACGAGATTAAAACTGTACATGGTAAAATTTAAAGTATAAAATAAAATATGTTGTTTTTGCGATCGATTAATTAATAAGTTTTATTTTGATTTTTACTTTCAATTCAAATAACTATAATTGAAATTCATATTATTTAAAACTAGAAGTCCTTGAATTAAAAGTACTTTTGTTGATTGAATGCAAAATAATTGTACTTTACATTTAAGTAATAAAATCTAATGATTGCAAAGATATAAGAAATTTGTGAAATCAATCAGTGATAACATGTTATTAATATATATTGGTATTTTATTTTGATATAACTTTTAAGCAATTATTTATTTATAAATTATACAAAATACATGTTACATTTTATTTGACTATGCAAAACGATAATTGTGATGTAATGTAAATAAATAATTCACCGACGTTTTAATGATATGTATTATATGCTGTGTTACTTAAGTTCTATACAAATATGCTATCAAAATTAGTTACCCATGGTGATTGTTATCTAATGTTTACGTATTAGTGTTCATACACTATGTGTTAATTTATTGTGGAAAAATATAATAATTAAATGTAATATAAAAACAAATAATTTTGAATTTAATAAATTATACAAAAATATTACTCCAAAATAAATAATTTAAATGAACGATAAAAGTAAAATATGCCTGATTTGCGGAGACAGAGCGCTAAGTATGTGTGATATTAAACGAAATTATCATAATTAGTTTGTTTATAATATTTATGATAAACATAACTTTGAAAATTACCATAAATTAGGCAATAATTTCGGTGCCCTTAGCTGTGAGTCCTGTAAAGCTTTTTATCGACGAAACGCCGGCAAACTTGATGTAAGTTAACGATAAAAATCATTATTTAATAAATAATTTTAATATTTATATCCATAAAGGAGTGCAAGAAATGTCCGTTTAATAACAAATGTGTTATCAATAAAAATACGCGAAGATTTTGCCGCAAGTGTCGGCTCCGGAAGTGTTATTCCGTAGGAATGAAACAAGTATTCAAACATTGAAAATAACATTTAAAATAAATACATTTAATTACATATAAATATTATTTCTATAGGAATTCATTGTGAATAATGATAACAAACACAATAGAAAGGATATAATTGAAGAAAACACCAAAACAAATGAAAAATATGACCAAAAAAGTGTTACTCCGAGTCCAATGTCCGCATCCGATAGTTTACTTGAAGTGCTTGAAACAGACGACACCAACACTACTCAGCCCATCACTGATATCATTCAATACAACCAAGATTTCATGAATCAACTTATTAGTAACTATGATAATAAGAATGATGACAATGACCAGGATGAATTGGGCATTTTTACCGCCACATACCGCAAGTCAGTGGAGCTGGAAGTGGCTGTACTGCCGATATGCCGGGCAATTAGTAACCATCATAGCCTAACTGAGCCGGAATGGAGTTACCTCATGGAACTGTTCGCCCAAACAGTTCCCCGAAGATATACATACGAGAGGCCAAACAAACTGGTGGTCAACACCATTGAAGAAGTGGCCAATATATTGCTCCAGAAGGTCGAGATGTATATCGGCCAAGTTGTTAGTGCGGCCAAGTGTTTGCGCACATTTACGTGCCTGTGCGAGAATGACCAGTTGGCCTTGGTCAAATACGGTGGCATTCAGACTCTGTATATGCTTATTTGCAATTCCTATGATTACGCAAATGAGTATTGGACTGTTAATATGGTAGTTATTTTTGTGTGTGATTTAGTTATTATTATTTTTTAATTAATTCATTAATTTTAGGACAAAATAAATGCATTACTCTTTCCATTGGAGTTATTAAAGCCGGTGAAACGGAATCTATATTTTTTGTTTCAAAATTTTATGCAAAAGTTTGGCAACGAATGGGATTCCGATCCGTATATTATTGATCTGGTATTTAATTATTTGGATTAATAACTAATTAATACAAATATAATTAAAATATAAACAGTTGATGGTTATAATACTTTTCGACCCGGATCGACCTAACCTTATTCAAAGAGAACGTGTTAAGTAAGTGATTATAACTAAATTAGTTATTAGTTAACTAAATTAGTTATATTAATTAAATTAGTTTACTATTAATTTTTAATAAATTAACTGTCAATTGATATATTTTAATGGTTTTGTAATTATAATAGAGTTCAACAACAGTTATACATGTATTTACTTCAACGATATCTACAAATCCGATACAAAGCTTCGGAATGCGAAACAAAGACTAAATTTATGAAAATCTTAAATTTTTTAGAAGATGTGAAGATATTATACGAAATAAATAAACAAATCAATAGTGAGGGTAAGAATCCACACATTTTGGGACCATTTTTGAGGGAAATTCTTGATATTCCTTACGATAATAATTTGTTGACTTTTTCGTAAATAAAAACTAATAATTTTTAATATTAAACAAAATCTAATGCTTATAATCACTAATTTAATAAAATCAGTTCATATAGAATTTTGTGTATAACATTGTACTTTATATAATATAAGTTGTATTTTACACAATAAGTACTTAATAATTATTAAAATGACAAGTTTTGAAAAATATAATTAAGTTCTAAGTTGTCACCAAAAAAGTGCTTTTAATGTATATTCTTTCTGATTCTTAGATTTCTGGGTATTTGTCTCTCAATAGTGAGATCTCCGGTATTGTTGTGAACACAGATTGTGAACAACTTCTTGGGATGTATTTCATACCAATCGATGCAATTAGTGATCAATTGTTGACAAATCTCTTTATAATAATCCGGTTCTCCAATTCCCAAATATGACAAATGAATGGCCGATAAATTGTGAAAATCATTCAATTGTTTACACAAAACGGCTGTTTTTCCACTCAAATAATAACAACGAAGAGCCAGTGTTTTGATTGCCGTGTGTTTTGCGATTAAATGAAACATTTGCCCAAAACATGTCACACATTCTCTTTGTTGAATATTGCACTGGAATTGCCTGTAAGTTATCGCAAGTGTCGTGAGCTGTGGAAAGCATTGGATGAACGCCTCAAACCCTGATTCTGTTCCCATATAACAATTGAGATCTAATGTTTTCACATTTGCGAATTCATATCTGTGTTCACTGTATTCATAATCGATAAAATAAGGCAAATTTAGCTTTAGATACACCAGATTTGGCTGCTTTTGGGCCACACTTTGCAAACATTGCCATTGATTTTCGACATTAAAGGCAAACATATACTCCAATGCTTTCAAATTCATGCCATCGATAATTAAGTCCAATACCTCTTTTGAGAGCACAAGACTTCCCATATAAAGACAATCCAAATGTTTTGCATTACTTTCCAATAAAGTTGCCGTTAATTGTGTATTCAATTCAATGCGTACACAAGTCATTGATTTCAAACTTATTGGCAAACATGTAAAGAAATCGGTTGTGTCTTTCATTTCAAACATATACACGTCTAATGACTTTAATCGCGATAACTCTCGAATCAATTCACTTATATTCTTGTTATTATCGTCACAATAGTCTAAATATAATTTAGTAACTCTTTGTGCCAACAGTTGCCCAAAATGTCTATACTGTTGAGCACTGAAGTGATTGAGTCCTCTTATGTTTAGCGTTTTCACTGAATCCATGGCATCGAGAATGTCATAGAGTGTCTGATAATTGGTGACAAAGCGAGTGATTGCCAAATATGTAATGTTTGGTAACTTTTGCGATAACCAAAGGATTCGCTCTTTACTTGCGATGAGACACATCTCTCCGTCGGAATGGCTTTCAAGAAAGCCCTCGGGAAGTGAATATGAATTTGGCGTCACATCTGGTTTAGGCTTATAGTTGAAGCCAATGTAGTCGTGTTTCCATTTGCCCAATAATATAGCCTTTTGTTGTCGGAACCAATAGTTGGCGCACAACTGGAACTGTTGTGAAACTCTTTCCAGACGTATCAACTCATGAAACTCAAGGTATGAGAAGATTTTGATCACCAAATCGTGATTTAAGACAACTGTCTTAAGAAACTTAACTTTTGTAATATTGGTTTCGGCACTCATTTTGAGTAAAACACTATTTTTAAAATTATATTTTTGAAATATATCTCAAATTTTGTAAGAATGTAAACAATTAACTTTTTTGAATCTCACAATCAAACAATAAATCTATTTTATATTACTTTAAAAATAAACTTTATTTCCGTTAATGTCTAAAAATAATTCTTATTTAACGGTATTTTATTAATTAATACTTTGTATTAAAAAACAGTATTTACAGCAAAGAAATGGCAGAATCGGTAAAGATTTGCAGCATTTGTAAGAATGAAAACAATGTGAATGATATGTTGATGGCGTGTGACTGTCGCGGAACCACTGGTTATACACACTTTCAATGTCTTAAGCAATGGATGGAAACCTCGGGAAGGGTTGTGTGTAATGTCTGTCGCGGCGAATATCGAGGCATTGAGTCTGAGAGACACCCGAAAGGACTGTTGGCTTATATGTCTGAACACAAGTTGTTTATTGGTTTGCGTTGTGTTTGTTATGGCTTTCACTCGTACTTATCGTACGTATGTTTGGATCACTCGATCCGACGCATTGATGACATCGGATATAACACCGGATCTCAAGTGCTGTCACTTTTGGGTCTATTCTTCGCTTTGGATGTCTGTCTCACTCTCGGAGTCGACGTTTTGAATGGCTTTAGAAATTATTACGTTTGGAGAGAAACTCATTTCAATATCAAAGTTATGAGAAAGTATTGATAAGACATTATTTAGTTATTAATTTATTTATTTTGTTTTCATTAAAAATTTTAATTTGATTTTTCAATTGATAATAAATTATTATAAACATGTAAAACTCTTTATACAATTTATATAATTTAATTCAAACCAGTATTTACTGTAATAAAAAACAATGTAAGAAATCATAAAAGTTTGTTGCATTTGTATCAATAAATAAATTGCAATTTACTATAATTTGCAGCAATTATGAAATAACTTATATAATAATTATTAATTTATAAGAAAAGTCATTAATTTTTATACGTTTACTTTATAATATATTCTTTATTAACAATTTAATAAAATTTAAAGTACTATTGAAATAAAATTTATTGTAAACTTTGTATAAATTGAATCGATTTTAAAACAAACTTTTTCTAATTTTTAAATTTCTTGGGATTTGTTGATCAATACTGATATCTCCGGCAATGTTGTCAACACAGATTGTAAACCACTTCTTCGGATCTATTGAATACCAATTGATGAAATCAGTTATCAATTGTCGGCAAATATTTGTGTAAATCTCTGGATTATAGTGAAGATAACGATTCAAATGAATGGCCGATAAGTAGTCGAAACCATTGAGTTGTTTACACAAAACGGCTGTCTTTCCACTCAAATCATTACACAAAAGACCCAAAGTTTTAATTGTCGTGTATTTTGCGATCAAACGAAACATTTGTCCAAAACATGTCTTACAATATTCTTCAACGATGTCGTCGTCGTCGTCGTCATCGACTCCATTGATATTACAAATAATTGAAACATCGTTTAAGACAAGTGTCTCGAGTTGTGGACAGCCTTTCAATAGTGACACAAATATCTCTTCGTTGAAAACCCACGAAAATAGAGAAAGTGTTTTGACATTTGGGAAATGTATGGCATTTACGGCGGAATCGTAATCAAGAAATACTGGATGTATGAGATCCAGGTGTTCAAGAGTTGTCTGTTTTTGGGCCACTCTTTGCAAACATTGCCATTGATTGACCTCAATATCCAAAGTGAAGGAAAATGCTTTCAAAGCCATACCATTGATAATGAGTTGCAGTCCTTCTTCTGTAATGGTATTCGTGTCGAGATATAAATGCTGTAAATCTTTAGCATTACTTTCCAATAGATTTGCCACCAATTGGTCATCAAAATTAGTGTGAGATATCAATGCAATACTCAATGATTTTAGACTTTTTGGCACAAATTTGAATAATTCTATGACATCTACTCTTCTCATAAAACTTATATACAATTTATTCAATGCTTTCATTTCTCGTATCATTTCAATGACATTCACTGAATAGACGCGACAATAGTTGGCCATAAATGTGGTCACTCTTCCCGACAAGAGTTGTCCCAATTGGCGGAACTCTTGAGCTGTGAAGCGATCGCAACCGCATATGTTTAGCCATTTCACTGATTGGTATGACTCGAGAATCTTATACATCGACTTGTAATTGGTGTCGAAGTGACCGATTTCTAGGTATTCAACATTTGGTAACTTCTCTGACAACCAAAGCATCCGTTGTTTGCTTCCTATGAGACACAGCTTTCCATCTGAATGACACTCAAAATATCGATTGGGAAATGAATAGGAATTGAGAATAACGTTATCATTGGGTCTGTAGTGATAGACTCCACACCAGCTCTCACTGAATAGCAGTGTCTTCTGCCATCGGAACCAATAGTCGGCGCACAACTGGAACTGTTTGGTGACTCTCTCCAGAGGTATCAACTCATGGATCTCGAGGTATGAAAAGATTTCTATCACCAAAACTGGATTCCCAAAGACTTTCTCAAAAACAGTCACTATTTTATTCTCTGTTTTGTCAGACATTTTGTATGATATCTTAAAATACTTTTGAATTATTTGTTTTGAACTCTATTTCAACCGTTATTTTGTATTTTTAATTTTAGTTTGAATTTAAACTAATTAATTGTATTTGAATAAAACAACAATATTACTTCATTTATAACTTTTAACACAACGATTATTCATTTAAATTTATATATTTAAATGCAAACCATTTAATGAAAAACAATGACAGAAATGGTAAAGATTTGTAGCATTTGTAGGGATGAAGACATTGTCAATGATATGTTGATGGCGTGTGACTGTCGCGGAACCACTGGTTATACACACTTCCAATGTCTTAAGCAATGGATGGAAAGCTCGGGAAGAGATGTGTGTAATGTCTGTCGCGGCAAATATCGAGGCGTTGTGTCTGAAAAACACCCGAAAGGACTGTTGGCTTATGTCTGGGAAAACAAAGAGTGGTTAGTCTTCCGGTCTTTTTCCTACGGCTTTGTCTCGTACTTATCGTACGTATGTTTGGATCACTCGATCCGACGCATTGATGACATCGGATATAACACCGGATCTCAAGTGCTGTCACTTTTGGGTCTATTCTTCGCTTTTGATGTCTGACTCACTCTCGGAGTCGACGTTTTGAATGGCTTTAGAAATTATAAAGTTTGGAGAGAAACTCATTTCAATATTAAAATTGTAAAAAGCTTTGAATAAAACATTATTTAGTTATTTATAGATTTAATGTTTATAAAATAATTATAAACTATTAATTTTAAAGTTTAGTGTTTTAGATATATTTTCTATTAAATCTAAATTAATCATTTAATTATAATAAATTTAGTAATTCAAGGGTTTTATTAAGATCTAAATTAATTCAATTGTGTGTTTAATGAAACCATTTATTTATTATAATAATTGAATTTATATCAACTCTAAACAAATATAAATAATTCAAAATTGCTTTCAATAAAGAATTTTTCTAATTTTTAAATTCCTCGGCATTTGTCTATCAATATTGAAATCACTTGTATTACTGTAAATACAAATTGTGAACATTTTTCTCGGATCTCTTGAATACCAATCGATAAAATCAGTTATAAATTGTCGACAAAAATTAGCGTAAACTTCAGGACTTGAATCGGCAAAACGGTTCAATTCAATGGTCGATAAATAACAAAAATCATTGAGTTGTTGACAGACAACGGCTGTCCTTACAAAACAAAATAAACCTAAAGTCTGGATTGATGTGTGTTTTGCCACCAAATGAAACGTTTGTCGAAAACATGTCAAACAATTTTCTTCATTCAAATGACAAGTAATTGTTGTCTGTATTAACACAAGTGTCTTGAGTTGTGGGAAGCATTTCAATAGCGACTCAAACGCCACTTCTTTAAGGCGACAAAATGTCAGATCAAGTGATACTACTCTCGAAAATTGTGTCCACTTTTGCGAGTATTCATAATCTCGAAAATCCTGGCCATCGAGACCAAGATATTCAAGATTTGGCTGCTTTTGGGCCACTCTTTGCAAACATTGCCATTGATTTGGATTATTATACAAATCGTATGAAAATGCCTTTAATGTCATACTATTGATGAGCAGTTCCAGTGCCTCTTCGGTGAGACGATTGGTATTGAGGTATAAATACTGCACATGTTTTGCATTGCTTTCCAATAGAGTTGCCACCAATTGGTTGTCAATCATAATCCTATAATGGGATCCAACTCTTAATGATTTTATACTCGTTGGCAAACAATTAAGTAATCCTATCATAACTCGTGGTCGTCGTATATATATAAGCAATTTAGTCAATTCGCTCATCTCTTGAATCATATCAATCACATTCATTGAATGAATGCCACAAAGGTTTGCAAATAATTTGGTGACTCTTCCCGACAAGAGTTGTCCCAAATGGCGGAACTGCTGAGCCGTGAAGTGCTTACAAGAACCGCAAATTTCCAACCATTTCACTGATTGATATGACTCGAGGATATCATACAATGTCTTGTAATTGGTGTCAAAGTGACCGATTCCTAAGTACTCAACATTTGGTAACTTCTCTGATAAACTGATTATCAATTGTTTGCTTCCAATGAGACATAGTTTTCCGTCTGAATGGCACTCAAGATATCGTTTGGGAAATGTATAGGAATTGTGAACAACATCTATGTTGGGATCGATTCCACACCAGTTCTCGTTAAATGATATGTTTTTCTGCCGTCGGAACCAATAGTCGGCGCAGAACTGGAAGTGTTTAGAGACTCTCTCCAGAGGTATCAACTCATGAAACTGGAGGTATGAGAATATTTTTATCAACAATTTTTCATTCATAAAGACTTTATCAAAAAGTATATTCATTTTATCACTCATTTTTTATTCAAATTACAAATATTTTATGTAAAATAATACATATATTTTAACGATCTTTTTCATAAGTCACTAAATTATTTAAATTAAACTAATTATTAGTAATTAATACTTGTTTCACTAATTCAACAATGTAATCAATATATTAATTGCATATTAAATGGAAATTTTGATTGAAAGAATTCTGACATTATAATTATTGAAATTCCTGAATTAAATACTATTTTGTAGTTTCATTACTAAAATCTTGATAAAAATTGTCAAAAATACCTTATAATCAAACACTATATTTGCAAATATTTGTTATTTGTTGAAAAGTGAAGCAATGCTTAAAACTATTTACTTTATTAAACTTTAAAAATAATTTCAATAAATAATTTTTCTGATTTTCAAATTCCTGGGTATTTGTGGACCAATAGTGAGATCTCCGGTATTGTTGTGAACACAGATTGTGAACCATTTCTTCGGGTCTATTGAATACCAATCCATGAAATCAATAATAAAGCGTTTGCAAAGGTTTTCATATTCTTCGAGACTTGAATCAATAAAACGGTTCAATTGAAGGGTTAGACGAATACTATTCTCAAACTCTTCCACATTCTTGAAAGGAAACGGCAATTGATTTACTCTATGTTTAGCGATAATGTCATCGTTTTTCTCCGAAATGATCACATTTCCAATGTTGCCGTCCTTTCGTTCCTTTGTCTTGGCTTTAATCGTAAACTTTTTACGTTTGCGTTTACTTTGTTTGACACCATTTCCAGCCCAAGAACCCCAACCCGGCAAATGAAGGTTAATGTCTTTCGCGCTCTCATTCTCTATCCTCTCCTTTTTGGCGCTTTTAAAATCACTCATCACGTCGTCGTCGGCGAACGCTTCGGACACCAGTTGTCTTTGTTCGTCGTCTGATATACCATCCGATTCATCCACACTCTCGGCGTCCGAATCCATTTCGGTCACCAAATCGGGAAATGAAGACTTGATTTTGTTAGCCTTCACTACAATAAAGTCATTCGGATCTATTTCGGCCTCTTTTGGGATCGGTTCCACAGTTTTGGACTTTTTATCATTAATTGTTTCATTTCTTTTAGTATTTATGGGTTGAATGGACTCATGAGTGGGCGAACCGGATGTCTCAAAATTGATGGGTTCGTCTTCGGCCTCCTCTTTCTCCTCCTCTATGGGTTGAGTGTTTGGTTTACTCTGTCGTCCGCTTTTCATCCATGGATTATAATCCTCAGGCAATGGCTCGAACTCATTGTCTTTGGGGACGTCTTCGTCATTATTATCGTCAGAATCGCTCTCATTATCGCTACTTTTGTCCACTTCCTCGTCGTCTTCAAAGTGGACTCTCTTTTGTGTCAATTTATTGCTGATCTGAAGTTGTTCTGTGAGAGCAATGCGAGCGCTATCATCGTATTGGGCCCTAAGCTTAAGATGTTTGGCCCACTTTCCTGTGTTCTTATGCTTAAGGCTCGCCCTCTCCAGAGCTCGCAGTTTATCCAATTCCTGGAGTTTATCGATCGCTGCCTTCGGATCAGTCTTTTTGATGTCTTCAAACTCTTCGACACTTTTCTTGAGTTTCTCTCTCTTCAAAATTCGATGATATCTTTTGCTTTTAATCTTCGCCTGACGTTTCAGTTTCACCTCTTCATAGCTGAGAAGAGCTCGCATTTTCTGGAGCTCTTTGTGCCGCAGTTTCGCCTCTTCTAAACTCATGGCTTTCATTATCTTCTCTTCGGCGACAGTCAATGGCTAAACAAAATTCAATAACAAAACTGTATTATTGTTCACTATATTTGGATATCAATATATTCGTAAATACCTTATCATCGGTTAAGTTATTCTCTGATTTGCCCAACAGTTCCGCCACTTCGAGCTCTAACTTAGTCTTCGGGCGATACTGTTTGGTCACCTCTCGAGAGGGCTCTAAAGTGAGTAACTGTTGTTT